CAATCCATTACTCATATATGCTTCACCATTACCCTAGAAATCAAACTACTCACAATCCATAGAAATCAAGATCAAAACAAAACTAAACAACAAAGATCAAATTAAACAAACTAAAATCAAATAACAAATCAATTAAACTTCAATCAAACTTGAACATTCAACAAAACGATTGAAATCAAACTAAAGATCAAACTAAAGATTGAATTAAAGAAAAGGAATCCTTACAAACTTGATCAAAGATCAAAGGAAATGGAGAAATATTCAATCATCAACAATCCACCATGAAATTCTCTCACTAAAACCTAGAGTTTCTCTCTCTAAAAATCTCTCTAATTTTATCTAAAACTAATTCTAATTCTATTCTAATCATTCTCTCTCTAAAAATAGAAGGAAAAACTATATATAGTAAAACTAACAAGAGAAGAGTTAGTTAAATCGTCCAAAAGAAACCCCAGAATGTGCGGTCGCAACAAGGGAGAGGCGCGGCCGCGAGAAAAGGGGTACGGAACAGGGGCCCTGGCAGGCGCGCCCGCACCTGCATCAGGTGCGCCCGCATCACCCTCGTGCGCGCCCGCACCTAGCAGCAGGGGAGCTCCCTCTTCTTCATCCTAGCTCATCCTCGTGCGCTCGTCTTGGTGATGATGATGAACACTAAGGTAGGAAGTCTTAAAATGGCCATTTTGGTGGGTTCATGCCAAAGATGATGCTCCCACCGCATGCATGCACACCGATCTCAGAAACTTGCTCCTTGCATTCCTTTAAACTTGAGCTCCAAATGACAAGCGAGAGGCATCCAAAATTATGAGAAATATGAGAGGAAGGCTCGGGAATCCTTGGAACACGATCATAACCTGAAAATACATGAAAACAAGCAAATAAAAGGGAAAAAACCAAATAAACAAAGAAATGCACAAAGAAAGAAAACTAACTAAGGAAAGCACAAACTAAAGAAATAAAGAACAAAACTAAGGAAAACTAAAGAAAAGAGCTATAAAAGAGCATGAAAATCATCCTAAAAGAAGCCAAATGAGTGCCATAAATGACACTCATCAAATGTATCTTTGTTTTGTTCTTTCTTTGGACATAATACTTTTGGACTTGTATAGTTGAATTCTTTTCTTCTTAAATGGTAACAGTGTGCACGGTTTGAGAGTATGTTTGGTTGATTCTAGGATAGAGTATGCTAAGGTAGTCGTTTAGAACTATTGGGACCTTAAAGCCGAATTCTATTTGTTTTTGAAAATTTGCAATTGCTCCCTTTTGGTGAATTTGAAGCTTTTGGTGAGTTTTTGCCACAACCTTGTGAGGTTTCATGATTTTTAAGCCTTCTACATTACTTGCATGAGCAGCATGGATCCTTGACTATTGCGGACCTAATCTTAAATCTTGACTCATAATTCTCAAACTCGAGACCGAACCATCTAGGGAGGAAAATGACATCTTTTTGGGGTGGTAATTTTTCTTTTTCTAGGTTTAATCTTCTTTATTTTAGTTCATTGGGTTTACATTTGCCTTCTTGCTAACCATTTGAGTGTTTTCCCTTCTTTTCAAGCCACATATTTAAAACTTTGAGCCTTTTGTTTCTTTTTGTTCCTTTTTTTTGTTTTGTGAAGCAAATGATCTTGTTCTTGGAGCTTGTGGTATATGAGTTTGGATATTGGTTCTTTTTGTAAGCAAGCTTGTGTTTTGTGTATATTTTGTGAATAATGGAAAATGAATGATGGAAAAATCCGTCCAAAGTTAAAAAAGGCAAGGACATAATAAAAGCAAAGTTGTAAGAACCGTCCATAGTTAAAAATGACAAGGACAATTGCTTTGAAAATATGAACACAACAAAAAAGTGAAAATTAGAAAATTCAAAAATATTTTCATGTGAATTATTCTCCTTTTCTAAGCATTGAGGACAATGCTTCATTTAAGCTTGGGGGAAAAGCGTTTACGCTTTTTGTATATATGTTTGTGAGTATAGCTTTGAATAAGCTTGGGGGTGTTAGTTTGTTTTTGTTTGGTGACTACTTGATTGTGATTCTAAGAAAGGGCCCGTTCTTTGCTTCACTATTAGGGGTACCACCAAATTTTTAAATTTTAGCCTACCCTCAACCTTTTACCTTTACGTTACAACCATTGGGAAAGACCTTTTGACCTAGAGGTTGAGTCACATATCGAGGGAGGGCATTATGAGTTAAAGCCTAAGGAGAGGGGATGCAAAGTCAAGATGTCGAGAAACCTCAAATCTATTTGTTTTTCCGGTTCCTTCGAGGAACTATAGAGACGCTCAATAAAAAGTAGATTTGAAGCTAAATTGGGAGGATGTGCTAAAATGTTTTGAGATAAAAGTGAATTGCGTTTCTTTAGTTCTCTATGCTTAGCATGTCCTATGTTTCAATCAACCTTAGATGTCTTAGAACGTGCACTCCCTTACTTGTTTAGAAAGATTTGCATTCACTTGTGCTTGTACATTTGGAAAAGTCCTTTCATGAACATTTGTTTGCTTATCTTGTATTTTGGTTTCTTTTTTCGTGCTTTTCCTTGTTTGTATTATTACGAGAGTTATAGGTTAATCTCTTAGGAAACCTTTACGAGAGCATCACTCGTCCTCTAGGGCGATCTAGGGGTTTAAATGGCTTGTCTTTAGTTGCTAAAATTGACTGTGATTCTTACGAAAGTGAGTTAGTGTATATTCTTGTGTTTTCTCTTTTTCTTTTGTTTGTTTGAATAAGCTTATCATTTCTCCCTTGGTTTTGTTTTGCTTGAGGACGAGAAAAAGGTAAGCTTGGGGGTATTTGATGGGTGTCATAAATGGAACCCATTTGATGAGCATTTAAATCGTTTTTACCTTCTTTTCATAGCTTTCTTTCTTTCTCAATAAATGTTAAGTTTTATGTTTTTTCTCTCTATTTTACCTTTCCTCTCTTGTTTTATGGCTTTTGTGCATTTTGATGGTTTTTCTAGTATTTTCTCCTTTATCTGTTCTATTTTGTTGCTTTTCCTTTATTTTAGATTTTATAGATTTAGTTTTATTTTATTTTGGTTTATTTTATTTCATTTTTTTCATTTCATTTTCTTTCCTTTATTTTCTTTTCATTTTATAATATTTTCTTTCTTTTATTCTTTTCATTTTCATTTTATTTCTTTTAATTTTTTTTGTTAATTTTGAGTTCATTTTACTTCATTTTCTCCTCGGTTTCATTAGTGTTTTGTAGGTGGATATTCCAAGTTTAACTTCTTGTGCTCGCAAAGCCGCGCTCTCAAGTCGGGTAGTGTTGAACCCACCGTGGAAGTGTTATGGGACTGCCTACTATAGTGTTCATCATGAGCATGCTGTGAGGACAATGCTCGTGCCCACCAACCACTCATCCTCACCTCAAGAAATTTCCCCTACTCCCCAATTAATTCCCCTATTCCCCAATTCAACAGCAGTAACAACTCCAACAACAACCGCAATTAACACCCAAAATTAGCCACCAACCGCATAGTTGCTGCCCCATGCTCAGTCACAGCTAACGCCACCAGTTCCGCAACACCAACAGCAATTATTCCGCCACCAATTGCAGCCAATCCGCCACCACATGACCAGGACCACCTTTATCCCGCAACAGCAAATCCACCTTCTGCCTCCTCAAACCGCAGCCACCGCAGCTCCCAATTCCTCCACCACCGCACAAATCAGCTGCTGCCCCTGCTCCATCTTCACCACCGCAGCTAGCAGCCCCGCAAGCACCTCCGAGCTGCCTCCTATCGAACACGGGCGCGCATTCATTAATAGCGGCCGCGCACAGCTGGGTATGAATTAGGGTCGTTGATTTTTATTGACTAATGTTTGAACGGTTGTGATGGTTTGTGATTTGGGTGATGATTGTGCGAAGCATGGGATTATTCCCACTTGTTGGAGCAGCGAAGTTCGCAGCCCCTGATTTCATTTTCTTTTATTATTCATTTTTATCTTCTTTCTTTAATTCCTTTTTTATTTTGGGGTTGTTAAATATCGCCCTCAAATATCTAACTAACGCCCGCAAAATAAAATAAAATTATGTATTTATCCTTATAATAATTATAAAAAATAATTAATTTAACCTCAATTTCACACTTTTACTGTACACAAAATTTTTTACCGTTCTCTCTAGTGGTCAACGGCCACCAACGCTCATCGAACAACCACCCAAACCACCGTGAGTTTCAAAATCAAACAAATTTTTAAAATTTTGCAAAATCAATTTTGTTAGATCTTATGGACAACGACGAAATACAAGAAACACAACCTTAGACGCTTGTAGAAGGCTCGTCAAACTGTATGAAATCAATACGTCGCGATAAATTTTTTAAAAAAATTTAAAATCCAGGGAACGCCTAGTTTTTTAGAATACCCTAGGCTGAAACGCCTAGTTTCTTATAATACCCTAGGCTGAAACGCCTAGTTTTTTCGAAACATCCTAGGCTATTCGAAAAACTATATGGAAACACTCCTTTCAAAATTTCCATCATTGCATCATTAGTCGAACAATTATCCACAGTTATAGAAGACAACCTAAGATCAAGATTCCATGATTGAATGCTTTCTTTCAATGCATCAGCAAGGACCTCGGCAGTATGAGGGGCAGGGACATATAAAAACCTATCAAAACCATTGAAATTGACATATAAAAACCTATCATCATCACTTATAATTACTATGATATTTTCCAGGGAACATCAATATAAAGGTATGTTTTCATTTTAAATCTCACACAAAAAACTATAACAATACAAAGGCAACCAAAAAAATAAACAAGTTATAAGTAACTAGAAAACAATACCTTATGATCCGACTTTGCAACTTCCATGTATTATCAATGAAATGTGAGGTGACAGCCATATAACCTTTTCTCTGGTTGTCAGCCGTCCACATGTCAGTAGTTAAGGCAATCTTGCCCTTTGCTTTCCTCAACAAGGTTGCAACATTCTCCTTCTCAAGCTCATATCTTTTCATAATATCTTTTCTTGTTGTGTTGCGAGATGGCACTTTAATTAAATCCAGGTTGGAGTGTCTTCCTATACTTTCTAAAACTCATATGTTCAACCATGCTAATTGGATACTCATGCAAAATAATCATCTCTGCCAAGTCTCTTCTTCCATCTTCTTGGTGGAATTCATAAGGGGCCAATGTCATCGTTTCATTCTTATCATTCAGGTTTTTTTGTGTACCAAACAATCTTGATTGTCGAATATCTTGACATAATCTCTTTGGACATATTTTAAAATGATCTTTCAAATGAGTAGTCCCTGCTTTCGACCCACCGGCAAGTAGCTTAGAGCAATGGTTGCACTCAGCTTTTACTGCATCACCAACCCTCTTTCTCTTAAAATCAGACCACACTGCTGAAGTATGCCTACTAGTTATTGGTAGGACGAAAGGATCGGAATTAGTCTCCACGGGACTTTCATCGTCATCCAATGTAATTGGAGTATTACTAGCGGAAGTGGGAACACTAGCATTATTGTCATTTTTTGATGTCATTCTCTGGTTCTCCTCTAAAACAAACTGCAGTAATTTAATGGTCAATTCATGAACAAATTAAACTACTACTTTCAACAAGTCAACACATAATCCTTTAGTGTACTTAAAAAAAGATATCCTACAAGTATCTGATCCTTGAACCTCCCAATTTCCCATACAAATACAAATTATCAACATATACTTTGAAATTATCAAACATCTACGGTTAACAGTAGACAGAATTGAACATACAAGTACAAATTATTCTATATCATGCAACTAGACAGATCAAATACAAATTATACAAATACCCTTGAACCCCCCATTATCGTCATACAAATACAAAATAAAATGCAAATAGACAGATCAATTATATCAATATCATGCAACTCAAAAAACAAGTAATCAAACATAATAGCAAATTATTCAAGTAATTAATCAAATTATTTTTCATCAAAAAAAAAATAAATGGTTTTGTTACCTAGGACATACTCACAGACGCAAATCAATTAAATTAACTCATACATAATCAAACATTCAAACTTGTAGTTTTAAGCATCCAAAATCTTAATGGCTTCTTAATTTCTTAGTTAATTAGTTCATTTATTTTTCATAAGATAAAATGGTAAGGGAAAAAATAATTGGGGGAAAAAAAAGAGAGAGAGAGAGTTAGAGAGATTACCTGGTCGAGTTTCTGGTCGGATTTTTCGTTGACCGGCGATGAGATTCACATCCTCAGAGGCGGAAGTAACGTGACAGCCTGAGAGGAGTAGAGGACAGAGGAGAAAGTGGGAAACGGAGGAGAAAGTGAGCCTGACTGCCTGAGTACGTGACGGCTAGGGTTGAAAGTTTGAGAATGAGAAATTGAGAATGTATGGCTTTTTTCCAGAAACTTCATTAATTATTATTTTTTTTTTTTGCTGTATACATAATAAATAAATTAATGATATATATGTACATATGGGTGGGTCGGGTATAATGCGGGTATGGGGCGGGTATGGGGTGGGTCAGGCGGTGCTGGGGCGGGTCAGGCGGGGCGAGGCGGGTCACGCGGGACGGGGCGGGGATGGGGCGGGTACTGCCTAAAATCCACCCACGCCCCATCACCCATGGCGGGTATGGATTTTAGACCCATCCCCACCCCGCGACCCGCCAAAGCTAGACCCATCCCCGCCTCATCGGGGCGGGGATGGGGCGGGTCTCCTACTAGACCCGCCCCACTGACATCCCTAGGTGGCATATTGCAATGTCCAGCCACTAGACTGGAAGCTTCGTCTGCTCCTCCTCGGTGAACAACCTTCTGCGTTCACCCGGGAGATAACCGAGGCGGCCCAGCCGACCAAGGTTAAGAATGTATTGGTTGGTACCTATGATGGTACCACCAATCCAGAAGATCACCTCATGGCTTACACCAACCTCATGTATCTGCAGGGGTTGGATGATGCCACTTGGTGTCGTTGCTTCCCGGCTACATTGAAGGGCATTGCCCAACAATGGTTTGGTAATCTGCCAGCCGGGTCCATCGATAGTTTTAGGAAGCCACCTTCCTATTTGCTGCCAACTTCTCAATGAACATCCCTGCTAAGAAAACAAGCTTGGACTTGAGCACCATTAAGCAGGGGGAGAGAGAAGGGCTGCGCTCCTATGTCAGGCGGTTCAATATGATTAGAATTCAGATTCAAGGACTGTCTGACGAGGTAGCTTTTATAGACTTTTTCAAAGGTCTGAGAGACGGATCGACTTTCAAGTTCGACCTAGTCAGAAAAGGGGCTTTCACCTTACAAGCAGCTCTGAAGGAGGCGGAAAGCTACATTCAAGCTACTGACCTCTGCTCGCCTGGTAGCCAGTCGGACTCCAAGAATTCCGACAAGCAGAAAGACAGCCGGCCTGCCTAGCCGGCCAAAAAGAAAGGAGAGAGCAAGAGGAGAAAATAAATTTGGGCGGTTAGTGATTCTGTCCAGCCGTCCCAGAAGAAGAAGAAAGAATTTAAACCGTACGTCCCAAAGTACGAGTTTAACAAGGACTGCAACTCCATCCTCATGGAGATTAAGGATCGGTTGTCCCAAGAGAAGCCGAATCCAATGAAAATTTCCATTCAATCAAGGAAAAAAAATAAATTTTGCCAATACCATGAGGAAGTTGGCCATGACACCAATGACTGCTTCAGCCTTCAACGGGCGTTGGACCGCCTGGCTGACAAGGGAATGCTGAAGTCCTACATTTCTAAGTCCCCAGCCGGGGCAAAGAAGAAGAACAAGGGTCAGTCCTCTAAGACTACCCCCAGCCTGCTAGTAGCTCAGATACCGATAATGAGCCGGTCTACACAATAGCAGGCGGGTTCTCATGTGGTGGCCCTACCATCTGGGGCACCAAGAGCCATCTTCGAAAGATGGACAAAGATGATGATGGGCAGGCGTCTGCAAGCTCCACCTTCCCGGATGTTCTGATCACCGAGAAGGATAGGGGCAGTGTTCGCCGCCCGCATGATGACCCGGTCGTCATCGAATGTAAGGTTGCCAACCAATTGGTTGGACTGATCCTTATTGACACCGTCAGCTCATCAGACATCATCAGTCTCCGGTGCTTGCAGAAGCTAAAATACAATGACAGCAGCTTGCATCCGGTTTCCCACCCCTTAGTTGGCTTTGGAGGTGGAATGGTTTACCCAGTCGGAAGGGTTGATCTACCTATCCGGCTGGGTGAGAAAGGAAAAGGGCGACACCTGGTCGTCAAGTTTTTGGTCGTTGAGGAGTTGACCGCCTACAACATTATTTTGGGCCGGCCAACCCTCAACGAATCCAAAAGCTGTAATCATCCCTTCCCTCATGCTCATCAAGTATGAGAGGGATGACGACTCTGTTGGTTCCTTGAATGGGGATTAGTAGATGGCCCGGGAGTGCTATCTCTCAGCCGTCAAAGATACCGTGGCCCAAGACGGCCAGGAACCAATAGACCTTGACAATGTCAAGGATGCTGATCCAGTACCAGCCCCGCCAGCAGCCGGGAAGAAAAGAAAGGTACCTATGCTGGTGGAGGTGAAGAAAGAGAAAAAATAGCAATCACTGACCGGTGAACGGCCAGATGAGCTCCGTCCCCAACCGGCTGGTGAACACATTGATATACCTCTGGACGACAGCCGTCCGGAGCGTACCGTGAAGGTTGGGACGGTTGCTTTTGCTAAGTTGAGTGCAGACTTGCACCTTCTGCTGAAAGAATTCAAAGACATTTTTGCATTTGAAGTGGAAGATATCCCAGGCGTCAGCCCGGATCTTGTTGTCCACAAACTCGTCGTGGACCCTAAAAAGAAGCCCATTCGGCAGAAAAAAAGAAATCACGGCGAGGAAAGAAGTCAGGCGGCAGCTGCCGAAGTTAAAAAGTTGTTGGATGCTTGGTTCATTTGACCATGTAATTTCCCCAATTGGGTAGCGAATGTTGTGCTTGTAAAGAAGCCGAATGGTACCTGGCGTATGTGTATTGATTACACAGATCTCAATAAGGCATGTCCCAAGGACAGTTATCCGCTTCCTAAGATCGACAACATGGTCGATTCGACAGCCGGGCATGCCTTGATGAGCTTTACGGATGCCTAATCCGTCTTCCATCAGATACCCCTGTGGAAGAAAGATCAAGAAAAGACGGCCTTCGTCACTGATCAGGGGCTATTCTGTTACACTGTGATGCCGTTTGGCTTGAAAAATGCGCCGGCTACGTTCCAACAAATGATTAATACGGTCTTTATTAATCAAATTGGGAGGAATGTAGAGGCGTACATTGATGACATGATAGTCAAATCCAAGCAGCAGGCGGATCACCTTGCTGATCTCCGAGAAACCTTCACCATACTCAGGCGGCATAAGGTTATGTTAAATCCTAAGAAATGCGTCTTTAGTGTTGAGTCTGGGAAGTTTCTCGGATTCCTGATTGATCAAAGGGGGATAGAGGCTAACCTTGAGAAGATACAGGCAGTAATTGACATGAAGTCACCCCGCACTGTCAAGGAAGCACAGAGACTAACCGGTTGCCTGGCCGCCTTGGGGAGATTCCTCAGCCGGTCAGGTGACAAATGCCTTTACTTCTTCCAAGCAATCAGGAAGAAGACCAAATTTGAATGGGGGGATGATGCTGAGGCGGCCTTTCAACGGCTGAAAGAACACTTGCACTCCTTGCCAAGGCTTGTTAGCCCACTGCCTAGAGAGGTGTTATACATGTACCTAGCCGTCTCGGATCATGCCCTCAGTGCCGTTCTCCTTGCTGAGAGAGACGGTGTTCAGCTTCCAGTCTATTTCATTAGCCATGTTTTAAAAAATGCTGAGCTCCGGTACCCCATGGTAGAAAAATTTGGCCTTGCCCTATATATGGCTTTCAAGAAATTGAAACCTTATTTTCTGGCTCATCCGGTGGTAATCTACACCGACCAGCCCCTCAAGCGGCCAATGTCTACTTTGGAGTCATCCGGCAGAATGTTGAAATGGGCTATTGAAATGCAAAGTCTTGAAATCACTTTTGAACCTAGAAAGGCAGTGAAAGGTCAGGCGTTTGCCGACTTCATTGTTGAAATGACTCGACCGGTGCAACCGAATAATGTTGACCAGGTTTGGAAAGTGTATGTAGACGGAAGCTCAACGAAGAACGGCTGTGGTGCAGGAATTATATATGAGTCTCCTGAGGGGGACAAATTTGAATATGCACTGCGGTTTAAGTTTCAAGCCTCAAACAATGAGGCGGAGTACGAAACCCTGCTAGCCGGAATCCGCATGTGTAAGGCAGCAGGGGCAACTAAAATTGACTCCTATTCTGATTCTCAATTGGTTGTCAGCCAGTATGAGGGAACATATGAGGTAACTCATCCGGCTATGATCAAATATCTTCAGGCAGTCAAAGAAGAGGCTGGGGCACTTGAGGAATTCCGTCTGAATCAAGTGCCTAGGTCAGATAACAACCAGGCGGATGCGTTGTCCAAATTGGCTTCATCCGCCTGCTGTGATACTCCTCGGTCGGTCTTTTGGGAAGTTCTTGAAAAGAGAAGCATACATGAAGAGCCCATTGGAATCTTAGACCGAAGCTCTACCTGGATGGATGGCATCCGGGCATATTTAGCAGACGACAAGCTTCCTGATTCACCACAGGAGGTAGCCGTCATGAAAAAGCGAGCAGCAAACTTCGAGTTGAGAAACGGAGAACTCTTCAAGGCGGGTTTCCTCAAACCTCTACTGAAGTGTGTTACCTCAGAAAAGGGAAAAGAAGTTCTCGAAGAATTGCATGTTGGGTACTGCGCCTCTCATATAGGCGGCGGGTCCCTAGCCGTCAGAGCTAGGCGGCATTACTTTTGGCCTACTCTTGAAGCAGACGCTAAAGAGTTAGTCAAAAGATGTGACAAATGCCAAAGGTTTGGCCCTCTTATTCACCGCCCAGCTACTGATTTGACGGCAATCCACAGCCCAGTCCTATTCGCCAAATGGGGCATGGATATCTTAGGACCTTATACGCCTGCTCCAGGCAGAAAGCGCTACATTTTGGTGGCTGTGGATTATTTTACCAAATAGGTAGAAGCTGAGCCGGTTAAGAACATCAAGACAAAGGATGTCATCTCTTTCTTCTGGAAGAAAATCATCACCCGGTTTGGGGTACCTATGTCTATAGTGTTTGATAATGGCCCCCAGTTTGAGACCTCACAGCTCAAGACTTGGTTGGGAGATCAGGGTATCTCACACTATTTTGCATCAGTCAGCCGACCCCAAGCAAACGGCTAGGTTGAAGCCTTCAACAAACTCATCTCAGACGGCATAAAAAAGAAAATTGAAAGAGCCGGTAGTTTATGGGCAGAAGAGTTAATTCAAGTCCTATGGGCCATCCGGACTACTGCTAAAGGGGCAACCGGAGAAACCCCGTTTCTTATGGTATACGGTGCTGAAGCTGTCTTGCCCATTGAGCACTATGAGCCGACTCTCAGAGTTATGCTCTATGATGAAGAGGCAAATTGGGAGGCCATGCGGGTGGCATTGGACTCCCTCCCGGAACGCAGGGGCAACGCTGCCCTACGCCATGAGATATACCGTCTGAGAATGACCAGAGCTTATAACAAGAAAGTGCACAAGCGTTCTCTGAAAGTGGATGACTTTGTGTTACGAAAAATGGAGGCAACCGGTAGGGCCAATGAGACTGGGAAGGCCCCTGTCGGATTTATGAAGAAGTCAGGAACGACACCTACCGTCTAAAAAACCCCAGACGGTCGCCGCCTGCCTAGAAATTGGAATGTAGATAATCTAAAAAAGTACTACTTCTAAGAATGTATATTTTTTGTAAACAATAAGTCAATTAATGAAAATTCAGGCTTTGTTTGCAGATTCATTTTGCCGCCTGGCAATGCTCGGACGGACCCTGAGTTTAACTAACTAAGTTTGATACTTAGTTTAGTTGAACATTATAATTGCTAGTCTGCCTGGGTAAAACTCAGACAGACTCTCTGTTTGAATCACTAAGTTTGATACTTGGTGTAATTTAACAATTGTTAGTCCGCCTGAGTAAAGCTCAAACGGACTCTTTGTTTAAATTAATAACGTTTGATATTTGGTGTAAATTATCAATTGCTTATCCGTCTGGGTAATACTCAGACGGATTATTCATTCAACCAACTAAAACTTGGCACAAAAACGCCTAGTGGCTATACAACCGGTCTCAACAAAAGGTCAATATGGCCGGATGGTTGCTAATTTTACAAAACCGCCTGTCCCAACATGGACAAAGGCGTCCGGCGACACCCCTCCGGGTGCAATCGTCGCAGAGAACAGACCATTTGTCGGTTCTATGTACCAACGCAGACGGTGGAAATTGAAAGACCAAATTGGTCAACTCATAGCCGTCTGACCAGAATAATCTAAAGAACGATTAAGTTACCGAAAACCGGATGCCCTGAGGCATCAGTTGGTCATCGGCTGAAGTTCTTACTTAGGTTATTTATTCCAAAGTTGCACTCACTCCCCCTATTAGGGCAAAAGATTGTGTAATGGCTACGCGTCAACCCCAGACGGAATACAACCGCCTGGGCAAGAAGCTCAAAGCACCCGTTCTAATGGTCGGCTGTGCACTTGGTTTGGGGCAATCACCATTGTGATTGATTGGCCTAAAAACATTCCATACTTCTCCTAGTATCAAGTGTTTTCAAGCCAATCAATCAATTTGAAATAAAACCAACCACACAGCCGCCTAGGGGCAAGAGCACCCGGATTGCAAACCGCCGCATGCCTTTTTAAGTTGGGCAAAATATTAAAGAATTGCAAACATACGCAAAATTCAAATTGAAAACTCAAAACACAAATAGGTATAAACAACTGACTGAGTCGGAATACTTCATTAATATTTAAAATGGCACAAAATATTAAAGAAATGCACGTGCGACCTGTGAGGGGCAAATGTTTAGGGTAAAAATACCCTAGACACGTGGACCAATGAGAGGAGGCCACGTGTCGAGCTCAGGATGGCCCACGTGGCTTAACATCCTCTTGACACATGGCGCCCTCAGATACACCTCTGAAATGGCGGCCTTCAAGGGCCCAAATCCCTAGAAGCGTCGTTTTACGGCGCAACCCACTGAAAGTTAGGTCAAGTGACCTAGATAGGGGTCCACTCTCCAAGGACCCTATAAATAGGGAGATATTTCCCCACTTTGGGGACAGATTGAATCATTGATTACACCTGCATTCTCTCACATCAGAGAAAGACCTGAGCCTGGAATCCGAGCAGATACCCACCTAAATTTCCGTACCTTTTTCTCTCCCTTCAAGTTTCTAACTTGTGCGTCGGAGGCGGAGCACCACCCAACCGGTGTCTCCGTTTGTTTTGCAGGTACAGCTCACGCCGGATCAGTCTTCGTGTGGTAACTCTCCTGAGGGACAAAAACACCCAAAACATCATGCATTTAGGTTTTTTTTTTAACCACTAAAAAAAATGTATTTAACAAGTAACTTCCATTCCACTACATTATTTATTTGTTTTTTAAACCAAAAAAAAAATCAATAACTACCCAACCAACTTTTTTTTTTTTGGATTTTTTCAAGGGATTGCAATAGCTAATGATAACAATTCATTTTTTAAACACTACTAACATTTCACTTTGTGTTATTTTCTTTCGTGTATAATATGTGCCGTGTATTAGCACGGCTGCACGGATATACAGTTACTTTATCAACAATCCACCATAGAACTCAAAATCTCCAACCCTTCAATCCAAACAACTTCCACTTCTCTAATCATCAAAACAAAAATATGTACAACACACTTTTTGCGTAACTGGCCTCATCGAATAATTGCTTGCAAAAGAACAAAATAGCCCCTCCTATAGCACTGATGGAATAACCTATATGACAGTAACCAAGTAACCCCTATAACACTGAACGAGTAACCTCTATAAGCTTTGACAAAGTAACCCCCATAATATCTTGACACATTTGGGTGGCCACCCACATATAAGAGTAAGGTTTTGTTCTTTTGAGGTTATGAGCACAATAGAGCAAATCAGATTGCAAAAGATTAGCGCAGGTGACAGTACAGTAGAGTAAGGCTCAACAAAGTATATCAGATTTTAACAGAGTAGAGCCAGAGCAGACTATAAATAGTTCAAAATAACAGGTTCTAAGTTACTATATCTAAATCAACTTCTCGTAATTGAAATATATTTTTTCTTATATTATATATTAAAATATTTCTAATATAATATGTATCCCATGCATTTTTCACGGGTACACTATAGTCTTATATATAATTACAGAGTCGTTTTCACCATAACCCTCCAAATTCCTAATCCTCAAATCTCATGCATTTAGGTTTTTTTCTGTTTTTTTTAACCACTAAAAAAATGCATTTAGGTTTTTTTTTCATTTTTTTTATTTTTTTATTTCTTTTTAACTAGTAACTACCATTCTACTACTTTATTTATTTGTTTTTCAAAAAAAAAAAAAAATCCATAACTACCCAACCAACTTTTTTTTAAGGGATTGCAATAACTAATAATAACAATTCATTTTTCCTTAAACACTACTAACATTTCACTTTGTGTTATTTTCTTTTGTGTATAATATGTGTCGTGTATTAGCAAGGTTGCACGGATATACAATTACTTTATCAACAATTCACCGTAGAACTCAAAATACCCAACCCTTCAATTCCAACAAATTCCACTTCTCTAATAATCAAAACAAAAACATGTACAACACACTTTTTGCATAACTGGCTTCATCGAATAGTTGCTTGCTTGCAAAAGAACAAAGTAACCCCTCCTATAGCACTGATGGAATAACCCACATGACACTAACCGAATAACCCCTATAACACTGAACAAGTAAACTATGTAGCTTTGACAAAGTAATCCCCATAATAGCTTAACACATTTGCGTAGCAACCCACATATAAGAGTAAGGTTTTGTTCTTTTGAGTTTATGCGCAGAATAGAGCATATCAGATTGCAAAAGTGTAGAGTAGGTGACAGTACGTAGAGTAGAGTAGGGCTCAACATAGTATATTGGATTTTAGCAAAGTAGAGCCAGAGCAGACTATAAATAGTTTAAAATAGCAGGTTTTAAGTTACTACATCTATATCAATTTCTCATATTTAAAATATATTTTTTCTTATATTATATAATTAAAATCTTTATAATATAATATATATTCCGTGTATTTTGTACGGGTACACTCTAGTGTAACGAAACGGAGGGTGTAACGAGAAATTAGAGTGTTTAAAACGGATAAAATTTAATTTAGGGAGAGAGTAGACAACGGGAAACTGTGTATTATACACAATTAAATCCAGATGTCATCTTTCAAGTGGTGATTAAGGATGTTGTTGTTTTTTTTTTTTTTGGTGTTAAATTCGGTTCACCCTTTAGACTAATCCAGATTCGTAAGGATGTCGTTATTTGCCAAAACTCTTACAAATTTTGTTTGTCGTACAGGTTGGAAGGCTTGTAGCCTCTCACTAATTTCTCTCTCTTGATCATTCCACTCCACTCTCTGCCTCTCATTCCAACCTTAACTTCTGTGTCACTCTTCTTATGATCATCGTCTTCAACTCATCATTGATCACGCTCTTTTTGGTTTTTGTAAGTACCAATTGCTATCTTATTCTTATATTTGTTGAATGCATGCCTAATATCGAGGAATTTTAGTTCGATTTTGTCATATTATTTACTGGAATTGTTGTGAGTTACCCGGTTCATATTTGAATTTGTCTATATTAATATACCATTCTAATTAATTCCCACATGACTTTTTTTTATTTGGTTGTATGTTGGTGGATTTACTCGTTGGTAAAAGTTATTTTTATTGGACCACATATGTATTGTAAATGGAACAAACAGAAACATATGAAGATACTATGAAATAGAAGCTTTTTGGTACAAATTGTATAGGGTTTTGTGGAAATTTAATTTGGTTTCACTTAGGGGATGCTTGATTTTTATGTATTGTTGTCAAAATTTCTGATTATGTTGAGTATTCATGTATCAAATATGGTTATTTGATTGGTAATTGATGGACTGTTAAAATCAATCCTACAAGGATCGATTTGTATACTATATCATAAGTTTAAGCTTTTGGTTGAGTTGATCTCTTTTAAGTGGAATATTTCGCGCTAGGTATGAATGGGGTTATGTCGCATCCACATTTCAAACCCAAGGGCTCTCATGTGAAGGGGCGTGGTAGAGTATATAAATTGATCTTGGGCTTCACAGATGACCCTTTAATAATAATATTTTGTTCATTTTATATATTTTTCACCATGTAGATTGTGTTTTTTTTGGGTGTTTAGAGAGTCACAATAGCAGGTGATGAGAATCGATTCGAAGATCTTTTGAAATCGGGAGGGGAGCTCTCCACTTGAGCTAACTGTCACTCCCAGGCACCATCAGGGTACACTCTAGATCGAATAATGTTTTCCACAGAATGGTTTGGCGCTTTTTGGGTGTCTTGTACCTAGGGTTGTGTGGCTAATTAAGTGTAGAATAGTGGGGGAGCATAAGGTGTGGTAGGTATTATATCAAAATATGAGACTCTGGTAATTTCTAGTGGGTGGGGAATAAAAAGGTAACAATATGAGGCATCCATTTTAGAAGTTTGATAATCATTATGGGATGGAATGAGTATATTTGATTCTGCCCAAAAGTCTACTTAGCAAGTGTGCTGCAATTTCAAATGTATATGCTATATCATTGTTGAGCTCTTAATAAAGATGACAACTCTTGTTATACGGGTCCATATAGGTCCAATTGCGTCCAAATCAACAAGAATGAAGTATTAATGTATAACAGATAATAATCTGCCTGAGTTGGGTAAAGAATACTAACCAGATAGATTGGCTAAAGCAATAACAGAATACGTTCTATCTGAACAACTGTCATGTTATTCTTTCGAGTTTTTATACATTGAAGGTTTATGTTTGGAGTCTTCTGCAGGGATCTTAATCTTATAACGAAAGATGGCATCAGCTTTCAAAGGAATGCTAATCAGAACTGTCCCTGATAGATGCTCAGATACACAATTGAAAGTGAAGCACTCAGAACAGATTGGTTATTTGCAAGACCAAAGTTTACTTGATTGTAACCATTGCAAAAGTATTCAACATGTTCGATTGCAGAAGAGCACATGCCTGCATCCATTTTCTAGCCATATGAGGTCACAGGTTGTCATGGCTCTGGTCTCCGACCCAATTTCCACCACTAAAAAGGTAGACTATAACAGTATAACTAGTTGTTTGTGTTTTGAACAAGGCATATAAATCCCAGCAGTCACTTGCATCAGTTTCCCATTCTTCCCATGCATGATGTATAGTTCCTTTTTTATTATTGCCATTCGTGTTTGATTGAAACTTATAATCATTAATCTCATGATCTCATCTGTTTATCAGCATAAAAGTTGAATAACTAAGATGCAATATTTGTCAGTTTTATGTAATTTTCTTTATTCATACAGCGAGTATTCACTTTCGGTAAAGGAAGAAGTGAAGGCAATAAGAGCATGAAGTCCTTGGTAAGTCATTGGCTTTAGATATATGGATTTGATGAATGAATTAAAGTTTTCACTTGAAATTAATTATGTTTTCTTGTAGTCATTGGATCGTATTTGTAAGAGAAGTAAACAAGCTTGAGTGTAATTTCTTTTGCCTGCATCATAATACCATAATATTCCAGCTAACTGTCCCAGCAATAACTTTTAGCATTTTACTTAGAAGTGTATCATAGTCTGTGGTGCTGAGATATCTCCTTCGTCGATTCATTATGTGCACCTGGGAGTTAAAAGAGCATGTGTTGCAGAAATGGTTTAATATTTTACTAAACTAGAGTGTACTCGTGCTAACACACGGTATGTATGTAGCTTGTATATTTAGAAAGAAAAACAATAGGAGATGTAGAAGTTATACAAAACAGAAAAAAAAAAAAAAAAAAAAATTTAAATAAATAAAAAATAATAAAATAATAATAAAAAAAAGAACTAAAATGCATGAGATTTGAGAATTGGGCTTTTGGAGGGTTGTGGTTAAATGACTCTGCAATCCTATAAAAGATAGTCTGTGTTGCTGAGACCCTTGCCTGAATCATTATGTAGTTGGGAGGCAAAGGAGCAAATCTTGCAGAAATGGCCAGCATAGGCTTATCTGTTCCGCCTGGGTTAACCATATCTACTGAAGCATGCCAAGAGTACCAGGACCATGGAAAAAAGCTTCCCAAAAGTTTGTGGGAGGAAATCCTGGAGGGATTGAGAGTGATAGAAAATGACATGGGAGCTTCTCTGGGAGACCCTTCTAAGCCTCTTCTACTTTCAGTTCGTTCTGGTGCTGCGGTAAGAGACTACAATGTCTTATTATTGGTTTAATATATTTTGTTATTAGAAGTTGGTTTAATTGCTTTCTTTTTGCTCCCTAATAATAATTGGTTCTATATGTCTACAGATTTCAATGCCTGGAATGATGGACACTGTCCTCAACCTTGGACTTAATGATACAGTGGTTGTAGGCCTAGCAGCAAAAGGCGGAGAACGATTTGCCTACGACTCATTTAGGCGTTTCTTGGACATGTTTGGCGGTGTAGTAAGTAATTACTTCCATGTCGTTTCACCTAATATTTCCTTAGTAAATGACTTTACCAGTCTCCCTTTTCTTTGCTTAAAAATTGTCCTGTAAAATGCATATTTTCACAATCAGAGGCATCTTAAATGATTTGCATGACTTTTGTGTGAATAGCTTTATTATTAACTTAATTTTGACTCTTTTCTCTTTTCTTTTTTAATTTTATATTTATTTTTCAAATGAGTTATTGTGTAAGCTGGTTCTCCAAATCTTGCTTCTAGTTTAGATATATGAATTCAAGCTTTGTATCAATCAATTCTCTAGCTAATGTTCAACTTTTGACTTCAAGGTCATGGGTATACCTCACTCAGCATTTGAGGAGAAGTTAGAATTGTTGAAGCAAGCAAAAGGAGTTAAGCTTGACACCGAGCTAACTGCTTCTGATCTTAAAGAGCTTATAGAGGAGTACAAGAATGTGTATCTTGAAGTCAAAGGAGAGACTTTCCCTGCTGGTACCAAATTAAATATGCTTCGTTATCCTTCTCATTTTCCAAGCCTAGATTAGTTTGGATTATTTCAGTATTTGAGTTTCCTTCTTTTGCATGTTTATTAAAAATGTAGATCCAGAGAAACAACTTCAGTTAGCTATTCAAGCAGTATTTGATTCCTGGGACAGTCCACGGGCTATTAAGTATCGGAGCATCAACCAGATATCTGGGTTGAAAGGGACTGCAGTTAATATTCAGTCTATGGTGTTTGGCAACATGGGAAATACTTCAGGGACAGGTGTTCTTTTTACGCGAAACCCAAGCACTGGTGAAAAGAAGCTCTATGGGGAGTTTTTAGTTAATGCTCAGGTATTTCTACAAACTTGTACAAATCTTAGAGAACATTACTGTTGCTCTTTATTCACGACCATTGAAGCACTGCATACACAGGGAGAAGATGTAGTTGCTGGCATTAGAACACCTGAAGATTTGGACACCATGAAAAGCTGCATGCCTGAAGCCTATAAGGAACTTGTGGAGAACTGTGAAATTTTGGAACAACATTACAAGGATATGATGGTAATAATTGATAAGATATCATAATAGACTTTAATCAAACACTAGTTTTCTTGCTTGTGCACATTAGATCTGAAATAAGGAAGTTTTGTTAGTCAAATAATAGAATTTGTAGCAATAATCATCTGGTGGATCATTTATGTTAACACAGGATATTGAATTCACTGTTCAAGAAAATAGGCTGTGGATGTTGCAATGCAGATCTGGTAAGCGAACCGGGAAAGGTGCAGTGAAAATAGCTGTCGACATGGTGAATGAAGGAATAGTTGACACTCGAACTGTTATTAAGATGGTAGAACCTCAACATCTTGATCAACTTCTTCACCCTCAGGTATACCTTATTATCTGAAATTTACTGTCCACTTCCGTATTATAGCAATGAATTGGTGACTACTGTTTAGCTGTAGAACATCATCATTTCCAAGAAGTTTTATAATGGAACCACACATTTACTTTAGATGACCATCCAGAAGAAAGTAGGAGCTAATTGAGATCGGGACTCCAGTAGGTGGAGAATGAATATCGACACTCATTTCTACGGCTCTATGGATTCTTTAATTTGCTATTTGCCATGCTGTACATATGCACTCATTTCTAAAAAATTATCTTGGATAGAAATGTTTTCGCAAATAACTATCTTAACAACCTTTTTCATGAACAACTATTTTACATTCATTTTTAGCTACCTCTGCGTGTTAACTTTTTCCATTGAAATTAAAACTACAAATAGGTCAATTGGTAGTCGTTAAATCAAAAGGTTTAATATTGTACTTCTTTATTAAAAAATTGTATTAGGAAGCTATGTATTATAAATTTATAATTGATTTGAATATGATAGGTAGTTCTAGATTTTATTTTTTATTTTTAAAATATGTACATATATAGCATATGATACCCAATCGATCTAGATTTCACTTGGTCATAAACTCAAAATGTTCATATGTTTATGTTTTGGAACAACTTCATAAGGGTAATTCCTGCATATTTCTTCACCTCCCTTAATGTACTTTTAAAAGACTAATGTTTTTATTGCCTTGAACTTTAAACTTATTCCATACTTCTTAATATAGAATGGCCGTATAGTAGTTGTACAAGAATAGGTGTCTGAGCTTACTAATTAATTCAACACCCGTAGACCCCTAGTCACTTTTATGTTATGTTACATGGACTCTACGTTTCACTTCAACGCTTCATTTTGGGCCAAAGTACTCATGTCAGACATGGGTACCTGAGTCCAAGTAACATAGCTGGCTTAGCTGCTATGTAACCCACTACCTGTATTATTTACCTTTGTAGCATGAGATATGCTATTTATGGAATTTTTTTCCTCGGTTGCATATGCATTAGTTTGAAGACCCATCTGCATATAAAGACAGAGTGATTGCCTGTGGACTGCCAGCATCTCCTGGAGCTGCTGTGGGGCAGATTGTATTCAGTGCTGAGGATGCTGAAGCCTGGCATGCTCAAGGGAATAGTGTCATTCTGGTATGATATATACTTTTTGTTTTTCTTGCTTTGTATATATTTTTATTATTATTATTATTATTCCGAGAAAGTTAAACTCCAAATGAAATGTCAGAGACCAACTTCTTATGTTTTACATGTTCAAAAGTAGCCAACATGGAGAGGGAGAGTTAGTCCCAAAGAAAAAAAAAACATGGAGAGGGAGAGTTAGTCCCAAAGAAAAAAAAAACATGGAGAGGGAGAGGGAGAGCATCAGCAACTCTACTTCCCTAGGGTGGGGTGTTGAAATTATTAAAAGAGATGAGAGAGGGGAAAGAATAACATGAACATAGTACATGACTGATTATATATAGAATGTGACTAACTAACTAGAGCTACAAACTAGGATCCTTATCCCATGATCTCATAATCTAATATCATGCCTAACCCACTATCTACATGATCTCCACAACTAAGACCTTAACGAAAACTTCAAACATTGATGATATCCCTCAAGGATGGAAAGTGTGTCACTACAACTACATGTTTGAGGACTTGTTCTCTTCAACTTGTTTCAGATGCTTATTACTTATTTCTTAATCAGATTAGAAACATTCACATTAGAGGAGATCAGAACTTCTAATTACCATTTACTTATTGGTAAATATTGTTAATTGCATATTAAAAAAAATACATATTTGAAAAGTTCTTAATGAGACAAATCTCACAAGATCCATTTTATAATGTTTTTCTTTATAGATTATTATAAAAATGCGATTAAAGTTTAGTCAAATTATTTAATTAGATCACATCAGACAAGATAATAAAAATTCAAATCAGACCATATCAGTCCTTAATAAAACCAGATCTCATTGTTTTAGGTGATATGTTCCTATGCTAATAGGAACTACTTTGAATCAATAATCCAACATGCCCCTTTGATTCAAAGTTCATGGTGTTCATGTTCGACTTTGATCAAAAGATCATTTCTTGAACACCATGAAGAGTTTGCTCTCTTCACCATCTGAAGCAAATTTTGTTTGCTCTTATAGAAATCAACTATGCCATAACTACAATTTCCTTATTCCATTCATTTGACATTTTTTTGTCAAATTTCGTAACATTTTGTGATGTATTTCATCAGTTACACAGTTTTATAGGTGCGTATTATCACTTATGTCGCTCTTTTAATCTAACCCAACTTGCATTTTGATATTATAAGAAAAGCAGATTAAGATAGAAAATGAACTTTCATTTTCTTAGTGCTTAAAATCTGTTGGAAGCATAGTGGACACACAAATGCACTAAACAATAACTCTTATATCTCTTATAAAATGTGTCTTACAAAAACGCAAATACATAATGCGTTTATATAGTAATTGGGAGTTATAATTGATTGTTCACCTGTATATTTCTCTCTTTTTCTAATATAATAGCATACCCCTTAATTTAATCATTGTCATTCTTTAAATTAAACCTGCAAAATCATTTGTCAAGTTAGCTAATTTTAACACTCCCCTTAAACTTGACTTTCTCACAATGCTAATTAACTTCTGCATCCTATTAAAATCTTCAAACTTTAATGGCTTTGTAAAGATGTCAGCAATTTCATCCAAAGACTTTACGAACTTTAATTCAATTTCTTTGTGTTCGATGCACTGTCGTATAAAATGGAACCTTCTGTCAATATGTTTGCTTCAGTCATGGAAGATCGGATTTTCCGCTAAAGCAAGAGCGTATCAGTCATAATCTCAATGGGTTCCATTTGTGGTAGTTGTTTAACAATCTTCTAAGCTATATCGAATGACATGCGCATGAAGTAGTTGCAATGTATTATGATTCACATGTAGATAATGTAACAATTGGTTGTTTCTTAGAACTCCAAGAAACAACATTGTTACCTAATAAAATTACGAACCCTGTCGTGGTTTTTCGATCATCTATGTCTCTAGCAAAATCACTATCTCAATATTGAAATCTTTTGAAGTAGAGTATAACAATCCATGGTCTAATGTACCTTTCAAGTATCGGGGAATTCCCGTCGCCACTTTTAGATGAGAAGTAAATGGATTCTCAATAAAATGACTTACTAGTCCAACAACAAAAATGATGTATTAGCGAGTACATGTCAAGTATCAAAAACTTCCTAGTAAACTTTTAAATAAGGTTGGATTTCGCCTTTTTCTCACTTGGATCATTCTTCGATGAGATGAAAATTCCATCATCACTCTGAAGTCTTCAATTCCCAAATATTAGGACTAGAGTCCCAAATCTGTCATCTCAAATTCGCGTGCCATTCTTTTCATAAAATCTTCAAACATTTCAATACTACTTTCGGTGAAAATTAGATCAACTACATCGATGCAAACATAGAACATGTCATTTCTCTTCTTAACATAAAGTGCATATTCATGAATGCACTTTGAAAATCCATTTTCTTGCAAGTATTTATCGAGTCTATTATTCCATGCTCGAGTTGCTTGCTTCAACCAATATAAGCCTTTTTCAATCTCAATATTTTATTATCTTGTCCTTTGCCAACGTAACCTTCTGGTTGTTCAATGTAGATCTCGTCCTCTAGATATCAAGCGGATTTTACATCCATATGATGAATTTTCCATTGAAATTGTGCTGCTATTGAAATCAACAACCTTAATGTCTCTAGTCGAGCGATTGGGGAAAATACCTCCTCATAATCAATTCCTTGTTTTCGCTTGTATCCTTTAGCAGCAAGCCTTGTTTTGTACCTTTTTACAACACCTTTGTCATTTTTCTTGATTTTGAAAACCCATTTTACTCATATTGCCTTCTTTTCTTTTGGAAGTGTTGCCTATTCCCAGGTGTTATTTTTCAAGTGTTGTTTTTCTCGATGGCATGTATCTCTTTATTCGTTGGTTTAACCATTCTCTTTGATCTTTTGCTCCATTGATTCAGTATCAGGAATAAGAAAAATAATAAAGCATTATCTTCTATCCTTTCTATAACTTCATAAAGATTAAAGAGGCTTCTATTTTTCTTTGGTGCTTCACTTAAACTAGACGAATCTCCACTTGAATGTTATGAATGTGATGACATATGAGGAGATGGTGGTGGAGTAGTGAAAACTTGCAATACACTAACTCACTGTAATAATATTAGAATAAAAATAAGTAATAAAGATGCAATTTTTGAGGGAAGAAAGTTGCTGATTGATTAACTGATGACAAAAATGGAGTCTTGGGAAATTTGGTGACTTCAGGCCACTACTCTCTAGGGAGTACCTTGAGGGTACAACTCTCCTTAACCTAGGGATTACAAAATGACTGCCTAAGACAACACACTCTCCCTTCCCCTTTCTTATATTTACATAACAAGCCAAGGATAGAAAAAGACAAATTGTAGTTGTCGCTGATTGGTAGGTTGATTCCCCTGTTGTGCTTGTGGCTGCGGTATTTGGTGTGCTTGTGTCAACCCTCTCTTCCCCCTATGCTCATATGTAATCCAGTCCTTACGCTTGCTCTTCCCAGCATTCGTTACATCCCCCCCCCCCCCCCTTCAAATTCACCTTGTCCTCAAGGTGAAATGATGGGAACCTCTCTTGAATCGCTGCTGCTTCTTCCCATGTTGCTTCAATTAAGGGCAAGCCTTGCCACTTAATTAACACCTCCAAAATGTCAAGATTACTCTTGGCAGCCCTTAAGTCCAGCACACTCTCTGGTTCAGCCTTGAGTTCCAATTCTTCAGTCAGCTGCAAAGGAATGGTCGGGCTTGCCAACGGCTCTCCTAAGCACATTTAAGCTGAGACACATGGAACACGGGGTGAACTCTACAAGACTCTAGCAGCTCGAGCTTGTAGGCTACCTGGCCAATGCGTTGGATCACCTTGAAGGGCCCGTAGTAACGTAGGGATAGCTTCTCGTTTGGTCGCCTTGCAAGGGATTTTTGCCGATAAGGTTGTAGCTTCAAATAGACTGTGTCTCCAATCTGAAACTCCTCTTCTCTCCTTCTCAAATCCGCATGGTGTTTCATCCTTTGCTGAGCCTGCACCAAATTCATATGCAATTCATCTAACACCCAATCTCTCTCTTGCAACCATTCCTCCAACTTATCCACTGGTGTTTGCCCTCTGCCCACTTTGATCAGTTTGGGTGGGTCTCTGCCATACACTACTCGGAAGGGTGTGAATCCAGTAGAGGCATGGTAGGACGTATTGTAGGCATATTCCGCCCAATGCAGCCACTTTCCCCACGATTTGGGTTTACCATTAACAAAACAACGCAAATACGTTTCCAAGGTTTTGTTAACAACCTTGGTTTGGCCGTCGGTTTGGAGGTGATACGCGGTACTTCTCTTAAGGTCCGTCCCTTGCAATCTAAACAACTCCTTCCAAAATACACTTATGAAAATACGATCTCTATCCGATACAATTGAAGTAGGCATCCCATGTAGTCGCACAACTCCTTGGTGAACACTTCCACAATTGTTAAGGCACTACAGGGATGTTTCAACCCGATGAAATGTGCATACTTCGATAGCCTATCCACCACTACAAATACCGAATCTATACCCCTTGAGTTCGGAAGTCCCTCCACAAAATCCATCGAAATATCCTCCCAAATTGCCTCGGGAATTGGTAAGGGCTGCAACAACCCGTCCGGTTGCAATTGTGAGTGCTTGGCTTGTTGACAAACGGCACATTGCCTCACATATGCTGCCACCTCCTTCCGCATCCCCTTCCAATACCACTCCGCAGCCAACCTTAAATATGTCTTTGTTTCACCTTGATGCCCTCACATCGGGCTGTCGTGGTACTCCTTCATAAGCTTAGAGATCAATGGTGACCCCTTAGGAAGTATTACTCTTCCCTTAAAGAGTAGTCTCCCTCCCTCGAGTGTGAAGCCCCCATGCATTTCCTCCCAGGTCTGCCACAATTTTTCCAAGGTCTAAATCGGCCTTCACCTCTCTTTCCACCTCCTCCCAATCAATTCTAGAAACCAAAATCATGGCTGCTAATTCCTAAACCCCTTCTCCCCTTCGTGACAGAGCATCTGCCACCCCCTGTT